AAATTGCTCACAATTTAAATATCTACTAAGGGAAGAAAACAATCGTTCGAGTTTCTCTCTCTCTCTTCTTTTCGAAGAAGTTGAAAATTCTACAAAATAAATGTCCAACATCAAGTTCGTCTGTTGACAGATTCGTTTGACTTTTCACAGAGAATCGAATGAAACGTATTTACCTTTTAACCCGTTTGCGTCACGATTTAAATTGCTCACAATTTAAATATCTACTAAGGGAAGAAAACAATCGTTCGAGTCTCTCTCTCTCTTCTTTTAAAAAAAAAAGTTTCGAAGAAGTTGAAAATTCTACAAAATAAATGTCCAACATCAAGTTCGTCTGTTGACAAATTCGTTTGACTTTTCAGAGAGAATTGAATGGAACGTATTTACCTTTTATTTACCATTTGCGTCACGATTTAAATTGCTCACAATTTAAATATCTACTAGTCTCTATTAATAGCAACTAATTGATGAAATATCACAATACAAAGTACACGATATTATTATGGAGAGCTCGTGATCTAGTCAGTGTGAAAAAGAACAATTTGTACTTTTTTTTTTTTTTGACAAAATCTTCAGTCAAGTCAATTATTAGAATGTTATACTTATGACACTATTGAGAATACTATCAAAGTGATTTTATTGTTTGAAATAAAAATAACAGCTAAACTGTTCCATCGATTGATAGTTTTAATGTTAAAACTAGAATTACCAAAGTGGTCAAAATGACGAATTCCTAATATTTTCAAGGTATAATTCTGCAGATTATATTTTTAATGATTTGGATAATTATGATAAAATACGCGAATAAAAGTTTGCGTCCTTTGTTGTTATTATTAACTTTCATCTTGCGATTTAATTTCTTCGATACAATCATTTACTACGTTAAATGATATTTGCACGATGCAGATTTGTTTTCAAATATACGGTCTATTTTTTTCCCTTTTTTTTTTTTTCTTCATCTATCTTTTCTTTCAATTTTCCTTCGCCCCTTCTCGAGACTCGCGAGCCATTCCTCTTTCAATCCACAAAATGAAGTGGGTGGTATTGTATCCAAGTGTTCGTAGTACGCTTGCCACTTGTCCATAAAGTACTCCGCCATGTCGCATTTGGGCCAGGGTCTCACTCTGCATGAAGGACCTTTCACCAGATATAATTATTTAATATATACAATGATACAGAAGTGCAACACTCGTACGATTAGTGATTGAGAATTTTATAAAGCATGCCGAATTTAAAAATCTACGTGCGAAGGAATTGCAGCTGGAACTTGGTGTTGCGCGATGAAATTCGCCTCGTGCGTTGCCTGATATTCCCTTTCATTATAAAACCACACACACAGTTCGAGTTTGCTGTACAACTCGTTTTACACAGCTAATAATGGACTTGCAATTTGTAATTTATAATTTATATTATATGGTCTTGCGTGTGATGGTTTTATAATTTTCTACATCTGCCGCAAAGTCAGGATAGCTGTCGCTCGGTGTTTCCTCCTTACATACAGGGTGGGCCAAAAATCACCTCTTACTAAAATAAATCCGTAACTTTTTACATGTATATTGTATTATATATTTCGACATTTGAAGGAAATAATTTTTAAAACATAATGAGAAAATCATGCTTGAGCTCAAATTTAATTTAACCCTTTGCACTCCGTTGTCGCCGTACAGGCGACATTGCAAGATAAGTTACTACTCCGTTGTCGCTGCAGCAGCGAC